GGTGTCGACATACTTTTTCATTGCTTCTTGACGAGAAAAAACCCTTGTACGGATTTGATCAGGAGAAGACACTGCTATGTTACAAGGCAAAGAGACTATGTCAAGAGCAACTCGCGGTTGCCTACCGTGGAGAAGTTGAGCAGGAGACACTCCAGTGGTGCCTTCTTGTGTGAACCTGTACGACGCTAAACATTCAGTCAAGACTTGCTTGAGGGGACGGTGCTCTAATTGGGCGATCTAGATATGTTCCTTCAGAACGCGATTAAAGCGCTTGATTTGGCCATTTGATTGGGGATAAAAAACTGATGACGTCAAGTGCTGAATTCCTCGTTGTGAAAGAAAAGCCTCGAAATGTTGGGACTGAAACTGTGGACCATTGTCCGTAACTATGGCATCAAGAAACCCTTCCCGGCTGAAGATTGAAGACAGAAATTCAATGATGACCTCAGAAGTAACCGTATGTGTGAAACAAATTTCTGGCCATTTGGAATGGTAGTCGATGAGAAAAACAATGAACCGGGCATTTTGCGGAACATTATGCAAAGAACCGATGATGTCCATGCCGAGTTTCTGCCAAGGCCGATCAGGCCACTGGACTGGGTGCAACAGAGAAAATGCAAGTTTGGCAGACTTGTCAGCTGCCTGACATATATGGCAGTTGTAAACTGCATGCTCGACCTGCTTGTCTAAGGCTGGCCACCAGTACCTGTCTCGGAGATTCTGTTTGGTGCGGACAATGCCTGGATGGGTCTCATGGGCAAGCTGTATTAGCTTGTTACGGAAAGAAGCAGGGGGAATCACGCGTTCATCGCGGAAAAGCAAGTCCTCGACACAAGACAGTTCCTGTCGGACTGCGAAGTAAGGCAAGAATTCAGAAGCAAGAGCACCTTTGGAAGGCCATCCTTCACGTAAATATTTGAGAACTTGAGACAAAGTGGAATCTGCAGCTGTAGCTGACTGAAGCTCAGCTTTAGTAATGCAGGAAGTAACTAATGAAACAACTTCCTCGTCCCGCTCTTCAGTAACTGGTATCTGAAGAGGAAGGCGCGACAGTGCATCAGCAACCACGTTATTAGAACCCTTACAATATTGAACACTGAAATTATAATACACGAGTTTGGCACACCAACGGGAAATGCGAATGGGGCGGCGGCCTTCGGATCCTGCACAAAAAAGAGCAACTAGTGCTTGGTGGTCTGTACGTAATGTGAAGTGCCGGCCCCACAAGTAAACATGCCATTTCTCACAGGAAAAAAGACAAGCGAGAGCTTCACGCTCTCCTACTGAATATCTGCGTTCAGCAGGGGTCAATGTACGAGATCCAAAAGCCATAGTGATCAGCTGATCATCTCTGAGTTGTTGAAACACTGCTCCCAGTTCAACATCGGACGCATCCGTCGTGATGACGATGGGAAGCTTCTCATTGAAAATACTAACAGCTGGCTTTGAGGCCAGTATTGACTTAACTTGTATGAAGCTCTGCTCAGCTTCAGCTGACCAGTCAAAAGGCTGTGCTTGACGAAGTAGAGTACGCAGTGGTTCAACAACATCAGCATAGTGAGGAACAAACTTGGCATAATAACCAACAGGACCTAAAAAAGATTGCAAGGTTTTAACATCAGTAGGCCGTGGGGCAGTGACAATGGCCTGAACTTTAGGTTCAACAGGTTTCAAGCCGCAGGAACTTACATTATGTCCTAGAAATTGTAACTCATTCACAGAAAAAATGCACTTGTTATTAAGTTTCATACCACAATCACTGATGCGGTTGAGAACAGTATGCAAGTTAGCATCGTGCTCTTCGCGAGTACGTCCCCACACCAAAATATCATCCAAGTAACAAAGGGCGCCATTACAACCCTTAAGAATAATTGACATCATTTTCTGAAACATTGCAGGGGCAGATGCAAGCCCGAAACACATGCGGCGAAACCGAAACAAGCCTTCGCGCGATACAAATGTGGTCAAGTCTCTACCGCACTCAGAAAGTTCAACTTGGTGATAAGCGGACGCGAGGTCCAGCTTGGAGAAACATACCACTCCGGAGAGCTGATGAAGCAGTTCTTCATTGTGAGGAAGTGGAAACCCGTTACGACGATCGCCTTGTTCGGTTCTCGTAAGTCGACGCATAGTCGAAGGTACCCATCTTTTTTCTTGATGACGACCAGTGGAGAAACCCAGTCGGAAGCAGAGACAGGCTCGATGATTCCGCTGGCTTGAAGGCGAGACAGTTCCACAGAGACTTGCTCACGGAGAAGAAGAGGAATGCGGCGCAGCTTGGCACGCACAGGGCACACACCTGGTCGACGCATCACTTTATGCACAAAACCACGCACACAACCCAGTTCACGAGTGAACAGGTGGTGGAATTCAGAAGGCGCGTTGGCCGGAAGATCATCTTGGACGTCGACTTGAGCACACGTCATAGACGCACCGACGATGTTGATGGACAAAGCCCTGATGGCATCACGTCCCAAAAATGAGCTGCCATTGGCTGTTACATAAAAAGTAATGGAAGCAGTGCGACTGCAATATGAGACCTGAGCTGTAAATTGACCTAAATTATCAATCGTTCCCTTGGAATATGTTTGTAGAACGACGTGTGAAGGCAAAAGCCGAATGTTGGAAAAATGACTGTGAAAGTCAGCGGCACTGATTAAAGAGACTGAGGCACCAGTGTACACGAGAAATGACAATGGCACATTGCCCACTGAAACTACGATGCTGGGCTCGGACGTAGTGTGGAGGCCATCCACATTTAAAACAGTGACCGTATTGGTTTGTGCAGTGCTCGAAGGAGTGGACGAAGAAACTGGTTCCGGAAGATTTGCTGGACGGGAATTGCATACGGACTGAAAATGTCCAATTTTTCCGCACGCAAGACAATTGCGGTTTCTCGCGGGACACTGCGCAAAATTGGCTAAATGCCGAGCCGATCCACAACGAAAGGAATGCGCGGTTGCGCTTGGAGAAGAAAATTGCGAACGCGAATTAGGAGCTCGGTGCTGTTCCTGAAAACCAGAATTTGGCGGAATGGGGTCGCCATATTGTTGGCTTTCTCGCCCCCGTGACGCGGAGGGGCCGCCATGTTGGCTGCCGCGCCGAGACGAAGATGAAGGGCCGCCATGTTGACGCGTCCCGTGAAACGAAGAGCCGCCGCCTTGGCCCCCTGCAGCAGAAAGTTGCTGCACCGAATGCGGAGCGAATTGCTCCAACTGGGAGCGAATAAGCTCGTCCTCTCGCGCAATCGAGAGGGCTTCGGATAATGAAATCGAGGAGCCCTTTTGAAGCGTGCGGCAGCGGACGTTTTGCGAGGCTACCCCGGTGAAAAGCTGATGGCGGATCATATCGTCCTCGAGCGCGCCGAAGCCGCACGACGCGGCGAGCGTTCGAAGAGAAGTAATGAACTCGGTGACTGGCTCACCAGGCAATTGTTGCCTTTCTTGGAATTTCACGCGTGCGAATCGCACGAAACATCTTTAAAATGCTCATCGAAAAGAGCAACGGCATTCTTGAAGGCATCGCCCGACGCTGGCGTCGGCGACGCGTTGGTGGCTTCCAAAGTATAGAAGAGCTTTAACCTGGCAGGGCCCAACGTGTTGAGCAGCAGGGCCTTGCGACGCTCGGGCTTGCTGGCGTCCTCCCCGACCGCGTCTGTGTAGGCCTGAAACACCAATTTCCAGTCCGCCCACGGAAGTGGCGGATCTCCGGGCGAATGAAGAAATAGGGGAGGTGGAATAGGAGACGCCATTTCAAGCAAGAAGAATGGAGAGGTGCAGACGAGAAGAAAATTACGCCTGTATACTGTTTGAAGACGAAGGCAGAGGTGGCGTAGTCGAATGAAGAAGGAATGAAGCGACGCAGCACGCAGTAGCCACCTTGCTGGGAACAAAAAGCGTCTAGGGTTAGCCGGGTAGGTCCATTAGAAGGAAGAAACAGACGAACACGGAAAACGAAATGGGTTCTTACAGGTCCTCGTCGCCATTGCTGTGTTGGGGGCTGGCTGGTCCCGACGAAGCAGCAGAAGAAGAAGACGGCCGACGGAGACGTACGCGGCCAGCGGGGACACCGACCAGCCCGAACACACGGGTTGGCGCGAAGCGCCGAAAGAAAGCACAACAACCGCACTCCACGGTTACCCAACGCACACTGTTTATTTTACAGTCGCCTTGAAATCCTAGATGCCAGAGCGGCGCCCCCTGGCATCCTCACATGTCAATCCGAAACTGAAACCCAGAACACAACACCCTTCCCTCTCATTTGAATCACTAACCTATGCACTGAACATTATAATGCACATTCGGCTACTAGCACAGAACACGATGCTGTGTTTAGAGCTTGGTCTGCTAACTCCTGCGATTCATGATGAAAACTAAAGAACATACCTCGGCGTTTTAGCTGCCTTACCCACATCACCTTATGGCTTCCTATTTTGTTACTTCTAGCGGCCCCGTGATTAGAAGCAGCGCCATTTCGGTTTTACCCTGAACACTTTACCGACTTCGCTACTGCCAAAGACTTAATAACACACATTAAACGTTGGTCTGTACATTAAGAAGCCTATCATTCAATATTAAATGCTGGATTTCTGTGTCCGAGTCTCTGGGCACAGTTTTTGGCTTTCTTGAAGAGAGGGGTATATATATATATATATATATATATATATATATATATATATATATATATATATATATATATATATATATATATATATATATATATATATGTATATATAACTCTCGGAAATCTCCACTTCTATGACTTCTTTTGGAATTTCACAGTGTTGAAGTGTATTTATTTGCAATTTTTAAAGAAGTAAGGTCTTTGCAGAACTGCAATCTCCAATTTCTTGAAATTCGCTAGCAGGCTCACAAGATTGATTTGCTGACTACTTCTCTCCAAGAAAATGAAGGTCTTCTTACGGACGATATTCTTTTCTTTTCCTCGGAAACTGATGTCAAGAGTACAACAGCCGCATCAAGTAAACACTTGCACAAAGGTTTGCAAGATGTATTTTTTATTTGGCACACTTCTGTAGAATAAGTGCTGGAAAGGCCATGGACCTTTCGACTTCACGCAGCATCTTATACTGCCGACAATGACCGCTATTACTCCAAGCCACGACGTCAAAGCAAGTACTTCTAATGTCTCAAAATAACAAGGGCTTCTGGCAGTCTTGGATCACTCGAGAAATAACCCTTCTTTATGCAGATACACACAATTCCGTTTCTTCAAATAACTTAAGCAATGATAGGGATCACAGGACAGTAGCAAACGTCTGTCCTGGCTCATACAGGAAACATTTTTTATTGAAATTCCGAGGCAAAAGCTGACGTCAATCGCTCACGTGCTTGAAGTTTAAGGTGGTTACAGGAATGTTTCAATGGGAAAACTATTCAAGGTGTGATAAGTGACTGCACACTGCGATGAATGAAGATGACTGAATGCTGCTTCAGCCTAGCTTCAAATTTCCGTTCATTTTGCGAGGTGCTTTTGCTTCCAGAAATGCATGTCGTATGATACCGACGATAGTTAAATTGACTTGTCATGCGTTGCATGCCAGACATGCATGTTCCAGGATGGCAGGAAGAAAATAGAGTTTGTGCGACCAATGTTTGTTCTGTTGCACTGTGTACAAAACTGTCAGTAATTTCGTGACGCTTTGCTTGTAGCAGCGGGTCACTTACAAAACAGCGAAAATGGCTCTCCCACGCCTTATTTACAAAACATCAACAACAAAAAGAGCCTTAGCCAGGGTTCTGTTGCGGTGTTCTCCAAGACGAATAAAAAATACACAACACAAAACAAGAGCATTTAAAAAGAGCAAAAGTCTAGATCCATGCTGTACTTACAGCAAATTATTAAAAGAAATGAACAGAGCCGTTTATTCAACCCAGTTTTATAGCAAAAAGCACCACTCAGTCTCTTGCTTTCTTCTTTAAATTCAATGAGTCGAGAGACGTCCATGCCCTAGCTCCGATCACGGGCTGTGGGAAAAAATGGCTGCACCAATTTCGCTCTCACCAGGGACTCAATCGCACTTCTCCCTTGACTCTCACGATGATTAGGATTCATAGAACTAGCGTCTCTTTCTTCTATGCCTGCTTTTCTCGGAGACACTGAAAAGTCCGCTGTCGGACGGGTCCGTAGACTGGGGAACACACACAGTTCGTCCTTCGCAAGTGTCAGCCCCATTAGTTTAATACGCAATCGCTTCTTAAATGGCCTATGCGACAGGAATTCCTAACCAGGCAAAGAAAAAAAAAAGCACTGCCCACTTGCACATGCACGTGCCAATTACACACACCACTGCGGTTAGCAGTACGAGCTGACGTTGTGTCGCTGTGGATGATGCGGCTGCTGCGATCTAGGATACGAAGGTGTCGTCATCATGGCGTCTAGATGAATCCTGCTCACTACTTTCTCACCGTCCGACGCCGCCATCACCCCGGGGTTGCTTTCGACGGGGCCGTGCAACAAGCTCGAAAGCATCGGCGGCGTGTCCCCGCAGTCCTCGCTGTCAGCAACCATGCCCGAGTCCGAGGAGAAATTTGTCTGAACGTCCTCTATAGCCTCCGAGCCAGGGTCGCCTCATACAGCATCTTGCGCGAGTAGGGAAGCCCGTTGAAGCCAACGATGTGGTGCTTGCGACAGCTAGAGCCATAACGCCACTGCTGGTCCGTGCCGCAGCATGGCATCTCCGGCGAGGCATAGTCCCTGGTGAAACACGTGCGCCAGGGGTGTGATCTGGTACTTTCCCGGCAGTGGCGCGACGAGTAGGATTCTTTGGTCATAGCCGTAGCTGGATGAAGAGTGCTGGCTCATGTCGGGCAGGTCTCCATAGAAGGCCTGGAACAGAGAAGCGCTGGCGACGGGGGTACGTCGTACAGCCGATCGACTGAGAAGGCATATCACTGTTGGTGGATTCGTAGATGTGGTCCCCAAGCACACTGTATAGACACTCGACAAATCCGAGTAGTGCCCTGATCTCCGGCTGTGAGTCCAAGTTCGGTGATGGGGTCCGTTCTCGCTTGGCTCTTCCTCAGATGGCTTGGGGTACGCTGGGGGTTATTGGGGTGCGACGGCTGCTGATCGAGGCTGTTGATGCCGCTTATGTTGTTGCTGGTGAGCTTCGGTGCAGCGTGCCGTCAGACACTTGGCTCAGGGCATTGATGTTGTTCTGCCCTTGCTCCAGTATGCGGCTGCTAGCATCGGGAGAAACGAGTGGCATGCTGCGGTTGTTGCCGACTGTCCATAGATTGGTGACCTGGTACATAAAAAAAAGCATTTGTTCATGAGCGTGTGCGAAGCAAAATTAGCTCGAAAACTGCGTGCGCTCTAGCAGGCCTTACTCTGCATCTATTTTTATCATTACCGCAGCATTTTACCTACCCAGTTATGCGCTATTTTCCAAGCTAATTCGTTCATATTAAAATTGTTATTATGCTGTAAAAACAAGTCAGCTTGAGGTGCCTAAAGAAACATTTGTTTTCTATTTGTGTCTTATTTCTGTACCTCACAGTGATTTTACGAAGTATACTAAACGTTTCAAGTTATATTTCTACATTTTGTTTGTACACCCATGGACACACAAACAAAGGTGCTTGCATATCTGGGCCAAGTCAGGTGTAGGTAAGCGTGCTGGCATGCTTGGAGCGAAAATATGGTCACGGTGTGGAATTTGTAATGCTTGACATGTTCTTTTGCATTAAATTATGAATCAACTCATCTAACAACTCTTTTTTATTTCTATACAAATAAACCCAAATGCAAAGAAAGTACTTCAATGCCTACTTGTGCTCACTGTACATTTTAACGTCGTGCGATGATGTTTATTAGAACAGAGGAGTCGCAATGAGGTCGCGATGGAAAATGGGCGCACAGCAAGTCTGGCAAAGGTGGCACAGGTTCTCGCGCAATCAGAGCACGGGCTTTTTGTTGTCTTCCGAAGGCGCATACGCGTTGGTGCGTATTCTCCACTACAATACCCCCGGGGTGAAGGGTAGCCATCCTGGCGACTCAGGGAGTAGGCACAATGAGGGGGTCGTAGTAGGGCTTGAGACGGTCGACGTGTACGGTCTCGCGTCCTCGACGGCGCAAATCTGGTGATTGTGTTAATGGCTCGATGACGTAATTCACCGGGGAGGTCGCGTCAATGACACGGTAGGGACCATGGTACCGGGCCAGAAGTTTAGAAGACAGGCCAGGAACGTGCGGGGGCACCCAAAGCCACACAAGGGAGCCAGCACGAAATGTAGGAGCTATGCAGTGAGCATCGTCGTGTCGAGTCTTTTGTAGGCCTTGAGCCTCACTTGTCAGAGACCGAGCCAACTGACGGCAGTCTTCAGCGTATCTGGCGACTTCCGAAAGCGGGGAGCACTCAGATGCATCAGGGCGATACGGTAGTATAGTGTCGAATGGGTGGGAAGGTTCGCGGCCGTACAATAGAAAGAACGGGGAAAAACCGGTAGTCGCTTACGTCACGGTGTTATAAGCGAAGGTAACAAAGGGCAATACGGCGTCCCAGTTAGTGTGGTCGGAGGAGGTATACATCCTAAGCATGTCGCCAAGTGTGCGGTTGAACCGCTCAGTAAGACCATTTGTCTGTGGATGGTATGCGGTAGATTTCCGGTGGATAATGTTGCATTCAGCGAGGATAGCTTGGATGACCTCCGACAGAAACACTCGACCCCTATCACTGAGTAATTCCCGCGGAGCACCATGGCGTAGAATGAAGCTGCGGAGAATGAAGAGTGCAACTTCGTGGGCGGTCGCTGCCGGTAGAGCTGCAGTCTCAGCGTAGTGTGTCAGATGATCGACTCCGACAATAATCCACCGGTTTCCAGAGATACTATATGGGAGGGGGCCATAGAGGTCTATACCCACGCGGTCGAATGGGCGAGCCGGGCACGGGAGTGGCTGTAACATGCCAGTAAGGTGCCGCGGAGGTGTCTTGTTCTGTTGGCAAGTGGTGCAAGACTGAACGTATTTCTGCACAAAGCGATACATTCCTCGCCAGTAATAGCGTTGGCGCAGCCTTTCGTAGGTTTTCAGGACACCTGCGTGAGCACTTTGGGGATCTGCATGGAAATTCATACAGATGTCAGAGCGCATATGAGTTGGGACAGCAAGGAGCCACTTCCGACCACCAGGCATGTAGTTACTGTGGTACAGAATGTTGTCTCGTAAGGAAAAGTGGGCTGCTTGCCGGCGTAGCGCTCTCGTGGAAGGGACAGCAGACGGATCGGTGAGGTAGTCGACTAACAAGGCAAGGTGTGGGTCTTTACGCTGCTCCGAAAGCATGTCAGTCGTGTCGAGTGGTGACAAGGTGGTAAAAGGGGGAGACAGAGAAGCCACATCTGGTGTTAATGGCGATCGCGAAAGTGCATCGGCATCCGCATGCTTGCAACCGGAACGATATACGACACGGATGTCGTATTCTTGCAATCGAAGAGCCCAACGCCCCAGGCGTCCGGACGGGTCTTTCAAGGTGGACAGCCAACATAGAGCGTGGTGGTCTGTGACCACGTCGAAAGGGCGGCCGTAAAGGTACGGGCGAAACTTTGTCAACGCCCAGATTATGGCCAAACACTCCTTCTCTGTCACGGAGTAATTCAATTCAGCCTTCTTGAGAGCGCGACTTGCATAGGCGACTACGTATTCAGCTTGGGTGCCTTTCCGTTGTGCCAAAACTGCACCAAGACCGATGCCACTTGCATCGGTGTGAATTTCTGTGGCCGCAGCAAGGTCGAAGTGACGAAGAATAGGTGGTGAGGTCAGCAGGGGGCGCAGCTGGCGAAATGCATCGTCACATGCAGGTGACCATGCAGATATGCCTTTGCTATTGGAAAGCAGACTCGTGAGAGGTGCGATGATGGACGCGAAGTTGCGCACGAAGCGACGAAAGTAGGAGCAGAGACCGACGAAACTTCTTAGGGCTTTCAGTGATGTGGGCAACGGGAAGTCAGCGACAGCTCGAAGCTTATCGGGATCCGGAAGAACACCGTCTCTGGTGATGACATGTCCTAAGATGGTTAGTTTTCGTGCTGCGAAGTGGCACTTCTTGGAGTTAAGTTGTAGGCCTGCAGAAGTTAGACACGTCAGAATCTCGTGGAGGCGAGCAAGATGTGTCGGGAAATCAGATGAAAAGACTACGATGTCGTCCAGGTAACATAAGCAGGTTTTCCATTTGTGGGCACGCAAGATGGTGTCGATCATGCGCTCAAATGTGGCAGGCGCGTTGCAGAGCCCAAATGGCATGACTTTGAACTCATATAGGCCATCCGGCGTTACAAAGGCTGTTTTAGGGCGATCACATTCAGCCATTGGCACCTGCCAATACCCACATCGCAGATCCAAAGATGTAAAGTACTCGGCGCCTTGTAAATAGTCAAGAGCATCGTCTATTCGTGGTAGCGGGTAGACATCTTTTTTCGTAATATTGTTTAAGCGGCGATAGTCCACGCAAAATCGTACGGTGCCATCTTTTTTCTTGACCAGAACCACAGGTGATGACCAAGCGCTTTGAGAAGGCTGTATGACTCCACGTTTAAGCATGTCATCTACTTGCTCCGTAATGACGCGGCGCTCTTCGGCGGAAACGCGGTAAGGACGCTGTCGCAGAGGCGAATGTGAGCCGGTGTCAATAGTATGAGCGATAGTGGTGGTGCGGCCCAAAGCAGGTTCTTGAAAGTTGAAAAAAGAACGAAACTTGTTAAGGAGAGCAACAAGTTGGCGGCGATGCGAGAGGGGAAGGTCTGCGTCAATAGCATTGTCGAAGGCTGACAAACTTGATGGCTCAGACGCATGAGTGATTGCAGCAATGTGACATGGCGTTTCGTCGGGAAGAGTAATATCATCGATATGGTCGACAGGTTGCACATATCCTAACGTTTCACCACGAAGTAAGCCAATGGGGTAGTTGCAGTGGTTGGTGACCAGCATTACGGTTAAACCAGACGCACTTGTAAGAACAGCAAATGGGAGAACGATACCCTTGCGTTCAGTAAAAACCGGAGATGGCGTAAACACCACCGTGCCGTCAGGTTGCGCCAGACATGAAAGGCTAATAGGGACCGAAGCTTCAGGAGGCAAGGTGATGTCGTCATCAGCGATGACTTTGCAGAGCAGAGGAGAGCGGTCGGGTGGTGGAAATTCACATGTTGGCACAAGGGACACTTCGGCACGGGAACAATCGATGATAGCTTCATGACGTGATAAGAAATCCCAACCCAGGATAAGGTCATGAGAGCAAGATGGTAGAACAAAAAACTGTACGACGTACAAAACGTCTCGGATGACGACGCGCGCCGTACACACAGCCGAGGGATGAATGCGTTGCGAGCTAGCCGTGGACAGCACCAAGCCACTGAGAGATGTGGTCACTTTCTTCAGTTTCCTACAAAAGTTTGCGTTCATCACAGGAACGGCGGCCCCGGTATCAATTAACGCTAATGTCACGACTCCCTCAACATTGACATCAACAACATTTTGCGGCGAAAATGGAGGCCTTGGGAATTGCGCACAAGTTGCAGTTCTTGCCTCCGGAACTGCACTGATTAGTTTCCCTCCTCAAGAGGTGGTCGACGACGCATAGGCGATGGCGATCGGCGACGAGGTGATGGGAAACGAGCAGTCGATGGGTGGCGATCCGAGTCGGAGTGCCTCTGTTCATATGCAGACGTGGTGGTCTGCTGCGGTGCGTAGGTAGGAGCTCCGAAGTATGCGTGCGCAGGCGTGGGACGGCGGCGGCAGAAGCGTGCAATGTGGCCAGCGATGCCACACGCGAAGCAGATGGGACGATTGTCTCGGGTGCGCCACTCATTAGATGGACGGAAAAAGCGAGGTGGGGGCCTGTAGACTGGAGGCGAGGCCGGAGGAGGTGGAGCCGATAAGGCGACTGGATGCGGTGGGGGCCGCGCGACCACAGCTGCGTAGCTGAGAGGTGAAGGCGTCGCAGTTGGTGCGTAGCCAGCAGTTGAGAGATCAGATGGCACCGAAGTGCATGGGTAAGAGGCTGGAACTGTAGGGAGTGCATTGCAAATTTCAGTGCGTATGGCCTGCTGCATATTCGAAGGGAGGCTTGTCGTGGGCGCGTCACTATGCGGCAGCAGGGAAAGCTGTCGGGCGACTTCCTCCCTGATGAAGTCTTTAATCTGGTTCGACAGAGTTCCTTGGTGACGTTGCCATTGGCGAGTGCGACGGCCGAGATCGAATCTGGTGATGGGACACTCTGTCGGGCGATGGAACGCTGACGACGCAATTCAT